AAGAATTTATTTCCCACAGTGTAAATTTATCTGTCCCCCTTTCTCGCTTAAGAGGAGCAACAACAAAAGAGACACAAAAACTGTCTTTATTAAAAAGTAAATTTAGAGTAACGAGCAAGTGACTCCTCAAGACAGTGAACTTGAGTAGTATGGGTAAGAAGTTTTAGGGTCCAGAAGCCTTGGCTACAGGAGCCTCTGTTCAGCTCCTCTTGGAGGGCATCATGACCCTCGAGAATCCTCTAGGAGTCTTCCTGTATTTGCCCAGTCAGAGACCAGATGAGGAGAGCCATTTGGTTTAAATGGGTAGTAATGAAATCTCGCTGCTCTCATTAAAACAAAATACAATAAAAAATACCACTGCCGGCTGCTGGTAGGTGGAGTTAGAATGAGCAGAGGTAAACTTCAGTTTCAAGGGGCAAGTGTTAAATGATTGCTCTCTAAGCTGGCCGCCAATGCTGCGCGAGACCTCACTCCATTTTAATAATTCGTCTTTTGTTTGCAGCAGAAACAGAAACGGCGCGTTATGATTTGGAAGGGGGTTTTATGTGCAATTAGAGTGCCAAGAACCACGATGTAACACATTTCAGGTTCCCTAATTGGGCCAAGAGGAAACCATCATTTCTGAAGTGACTTGGGTGCCTTACCCTGGTTCAACTTCTCTGAAATACTTGGAATTATTTTGGTAATGCCTGCTTATTTTCAGCATTTCCATTTAACGTTAAGGCCGTGTATTTTCTAGCTGTGCGTCTCTGTTATGGGAAACAGTGTTAATGACCAGTTTCTTACATTCTGAACCTGTCAAGAAAATTGTCATTTGTAAATGATTCCATGTGACTTTTTTTTTTTTAACCTGAACACAACCCCACTCTCCTCCACCAAGACTCAGAGCCAAATTAATATCAAATAGTGAAATGATTTCTGTCCAGGCTACCAGTAAAATGCTGAGTATTTAGGAAAAATCATCTCTTGAAACAATAATAAAAGTCTCATAGGTTCTTACACACAGCTATCAAATGAGTCTCTGATAATTAGTCTCAAATATTCTCATAATTTTTGCATAACTCCAACTAGTAAAGTCAAATGTTAAATAAAACAGCTCTAAATGAAGAAAGCAGAGAAAAATCGCTTTAGTTTGTTTTAATCAATATTTTATTTCTTGCAAAGCACTATGGCTGCTTCTGGAAATCAATGATGCAGTGTGGCCTTTGTAGTTCGATTGACTTTCTGCTCCAAACCATCCACATGGCTATTAACGCAAAGTGAAATTAAGATGGAGAGCTGCGCAGTCAGGCCTGAATAATCCATACGCGTCTGCCCCATACCCCAGGGTCTCTGAAAACACTGTGCTGGGGAGGAGTGGACCTGACATCCTCCATATGCTATTGACTTGTTGAATCCCGGATTCTTTAATCTGAATAAAAATAGCATTTTTCAATCTGACTGGCATTGGGAAAGGTCCAGTCACAACCAAATCAATAACTCCTTGGAGACAGAAGAGTGCACATTAGCTACACAGAATGACAGTGCACTGGCCGAGCCAAAGGAAAAAAAGAAAACATCATTTATATAAATTTGTACATTTACACATGGATGTATATTTACCTGTGATAAAAATACAGATAACTGGGATTAAAATTATGGGAACTCTGCCAGAGAAAGAAGAAAATACAGTAAGACTTGGGAGACAAGGAAAGGCAAATGTGGAGGTCTGCAGGCTCTAACGTGTGGAAGAGGAGAGTGTGCGGCAGACAGGCATGTGCCCAGCAATGAAAATGTTTGTCCAGCTGTGCTTTGAAACTACTAACAAAAACTTCAGTTGTTCACATATATCATTGGAACATTTTGTTGACTAGAAATTTTCCTCTTAAACATTTTTATTATCCTTTTTGTTTGGCTTATCGTGGTATTTTTAATTGCATACAAAGGGGTGCAACATGTGTATGTATGTGGACTCTGTGAATGGGATCCACAATCAAGCTGTCTAACACACTCATATTGTCCTATGGTTAAATTCTTTGCATTCATGCATGAGGACATATGAGACCCTCTTACCACATTTCAGCTGTGTGAGACAGTCTTTTTAACTCAAGTCACTAACTTGCACACTGAATCTCTAGAACTTGTCCCTTAGATGTAACTTACCCCCTTGGATGATTTGACCTACAGCTCCCCCCACACCTCAGGTCCTGGTGAATGCTGATTCTAGCTCTGCAGTTAAGACTCTGTTTTAATTAATTTATTTTTTTAATGTTTCACATGTAACTATGTTCATATAGCATTTGTCTTTCTGTGACTGGCTTATTTCACTCAGCCCAGTCATGTTTTTCCAAATAGACAATTTTCTCTCTTTTCAGAGTTGGGGGAAAAAGTTCCATTCTGTCGTGTTTTCTTTTCCTTAAAAAAACACGTGCATGTGTGGGCATGTTCATGTGCATGCAGGTGCGGGTGTAGGTGTTGGTGCATATAGGGGTTAGAACTCAATCTTGGGTGCCATTCCTCAGGAGCCATCTACTTTCTCTTTTTCTTTCATATTGACTGCACTTGTTCTTTGACAGTTTCATGCCTGTATATAGGATATTCTGTTTAATCTCATTCCCCTGCCAACTCTGATCTTCCCCTCACTGCCCCGCCCCCACATCCCTACTGGTCCCTTTCTCGAGTTCTTGCCTTTTTGCCTTGTTTGTGACCCACTGACTTTAGTCAGGAATATCTGTGTGACCGCAGGTTTGGAACTATCCCCTGGAGCCTGCTCACTGTTGGGTGCCCAGCTAAAGGCGACGACTATCCTCCTCCAGAATCCATTAGTGGCTAATAGTTTAGTGGGGAGGAGGAGGGCCTCATGAGTGCCTGTCAGTCCATGATAGCCTGTTGACAGGCCCAATCTTGGGCAGGACCATCAGAGCAGATCTTACAGCTGCTGTAAGACCATGTTTGCTGTGGCTGTGTGACATTCTGAGTCTAGCATTTTCTCCTTATATTTGGGTTCTTGCATTCTTTTCTCTCTGCTTTCCCCACCTTAGATGGAGTAGTTTAAATATCCCTAAACCTTAGCACTCTGAGCACCAGACTATCATTTATTCTAAGTACTATGAATAACCTCAAGTCTGCATCCACTGCCTTTCACTGAAGAGAACCTTCTCTGATTAAGAATGAGAGTAACATTTGTCCATAGGCACAAGCATAACTACTGAAATTACAGTTTGGTGTCGTGTCAGTTTAGATAAATAACAGTAGCGAGTTCCTTCCTGGGGTCTATGACCTCCTCCAGCTGGGACTTTTTGAACAGGTTTACAGTCCCACATCTTGTTTCTTGAAACAGTGATCGTTACTAGCCTAGCACTTGTGAATTAGTCTATTCTGTAAGGCTAGTGAGCCCAGGGGAACCTCTGGCTTCTGCCTTTCCTGTGCTGAGATTAGAAACACATGCCACCATGGTCAGTTTTTTACATGGCTTCTGGGGATGAAACTCGGGTCCTCATATTGTGCAGAAGGCTCTTTTCTGACTGAACCACTTCCCCAGCTCCATGCCATGCTTTCTTGACTCTATCACATTGTTGATGGACAGACGTTAAGGTGTTCCCTTGCATTGACTAGTATGAATAATGCATTAAGGAACTGGACGCGGATGAAAATGTCTCTTCAAGGCTGGACAGCTGAGTGAGACTGCAAGTAGTATGGAATGGGAAAAAAAAATGTTTGTCAACCATATATCAGAATGGGGTATGTCCTAATTTGCCTCTTTATTGTTGTGATAAAACACTGACCAAACCCGGCTCGGAAGGAAAGGGTCTACTTGGCTTGTAGGTTACATTCCATCATCAAGGAAAGTCAGGGTAGGAACTCAAGGCAGAATCTGAAGGCAGGAACAGAAGCAAAGACAGTGGAGAAATGTATATAACCCAGGACACACCCATCCTGGCATGGTGCCAGCCACAATGATCTGGGTCTTCCTACATTAATCAGCAGTTAAGAAGATGCCCCACCTACATTCCCACAGGCCAGTCCAATGGAGGCAATTCCTCAGTTGAGGTTCCCTCTTCCAAGACAGTTCAAGTTGACAACTGAAGCCATGAAAGGGGATAATATCTAAAATTCCCAAGAAACCCAAAACCCTAGGAGTCAAAATTTCTTAAATTTTTAAAAAATTTGTTAAGAGGCTGGAGAGATGGTTATGAGGTTAGAGTACCTGTTGCTCTTCCAGGGGACCCAAGCTGTGTTTCAAGAGCCTTTGTTGGGCGGTTCACAACCACCTGCAACTTCAACTCCAGGGACTCAGACACCTTCTTCTGCCCCCACCCATGCACTGTACTCATATGCACATACCCACAGCACACACACACGCACACACACACACACACACACACACACACACACACACACACACACAAATAAAATTAAATGTTTAATTTAATTAAAAATTAAACATTGTAAAAACTGTTATGAGGTCTGAAGCAGATATTTCTCAAAAGAAAACCTTCAGAGGGTCCACAGCTATATGAAAAGACACCCAACACCACCATCGCTAACATTCACATCAGGGGCCGGGCGGTGGTGGCGCACGCCTTTAATCCCAGCACTCGGGAGGCAGAGCCAGGCAGATCTCTGTGAGTTTGAGGCCAGCCTGGGCTACAGGGTGAGTTCCAGGACAGGCTCCAAAGCTACACAGAGAAACCCTGTCTCGAAAAACCAAAAAAAAAAAAAACCATTCACATCAGAACCACAATGAAATGCCACATATAATCTGATCACACTTGACAACTGATGTCATTGATGTATTTTGCAAATATCACCAATTCCATTTACATAAGATCATTCTCCATTATTGTATGGTATTTATTAGTTCACTTTGAACACCAACATTATTTTAAAAAACTGTATATTACTGTTATTTAACGAAATGTGTATTACCGTTGTGCATTACTAAGGAAAAAAAGCCTGTGAACTAAATATTGAAGTGCTTTCCTGTCCTTTTATGCTATTTTTTTCCGCAGTAGCAACATTTATTGGGGGGGGCATCTGTCCTTCTTGGCCACCGCCTTCCTCATGGCGGCCAGCACGTTGCTCAGCTCCTCCTGCTTCCTCTTGGCATGGATGTGCGTGCCCACCCTCTTCTTAATGAACTTGAGCACGGGCTTGTCCTTGGACACCTTCAGCAGCTCCATGGCGTGCAGCTCATGGGGTATGAAGCCGCACACCTCCTGGATCATGTCCCGCACGAATTTGGTGTGCTTGGTGAGGCGCCTGTGGCACTGACTATATCCCGGCTTGCTGACATTCTTCGTCACCTTGTGGCCCTTGTTGAGGCCTGCAGCCATGGGGTAGTGCAGGGCCATGGCTGCTGTTACCCAATGGCAGCCACGACAGGAAGCTTTGATGCTAATTTTTATCTACTAAAATCCCTTTCAGTATGAGTTGGCAGTCTTTGAATGCACACATATATGTGAAGACATAAACAGGACTAATTGGTTACAGTAGCTCTACATGGTGTCACCTCCTAATCTGATTAGGAGTTGATGATAGCCAGGGGGTGTGGTCCTGACTGCTTGGGAGACTGGCCAGAAGACTGAAGTCAGTCACAGCAGCATACATAGTGAGATCCCACTTAAAAAAAAATTGTCTGTGATTCTACAACCCCTGCCCGTGAAATGCATTTGTGATTTGTGACACAGGCCATTCCCACCATCTACATATTTTCCTTCAAATTGCTGGCATCTGTTTTCCAAATTGGTATCATGTAATTGTGTGCATTCTGCATGTATAGTATAGGCTTCTTAGTGTTGAAGATTATTGAGTCTGTGGGAAAAGGAAAAGAATTATGAATTGAGTGTCTGTGAGCTCTGGTGGGTTACAGATGCTCTACAGTCGCTTCCCTCTTCTCTTGACATGCCCATTTGAAAAGACATCAGAACCCATCACCCTAAACATTTTAGTGTGTATTCTATGTGACGAGAACACTACTCAACATAATAAACAACAATATTATTCTAGCCAAAACCACCTACATTAATTGTGTCCTATATTGTGTCTATGCTTAAGATCCTCCAGTTTTCCTCTAAGAGCTTTTGTGCTTTCTATTCCTGTGATCCAAGTCCTAATCAAGCTGCTTATTCTAGCTCTGGCATTGACCTTGCTTGGAAGCCCAAGTATGCTTTCTCTCTCTCTCTCTCTCTCTCTCTCTCTCTCTCTCTCTCTCTCTCTCTCTCTCTCTCTCTCCCCCTCCCTCTCCTTTTCCTTTTAAATTTTTGTCTTAATTTTGCATGTTGCTGTATTTGTGTGTGTGTGTGTGTGTGTGTGTGTGTGTGTGTGTGTGTGTGTGTATACTGTGTGTGCCTATTTTGGTGTACATTACAGAAGGGCACATGGAGGACAGAGTGATATTTTCATGTAGTGTCTCCACTTCATCATTTGTTGGAGACAAGGTCTTTCACTGAACCTGAGCTCACCATTTCAGTTATCACAGATGGTCAGACAAACTGAGAGGGTTCTTCTGTCTCCATTTCCCACTCCTGGGATTGCAGGTACATGGCACCAGCAAGTCTGGCTTTAAACATAAGTACAGTGCTGGAGATCTGTGTTGAGGTCCTCGTGTTTGCACAGCAGGTACTGTACCCACTGAGCCGTCTCTCCAGTCCCTCCAGCCCTACTTCTTGTACAATATCCCACGTTACAGATTTTTCTGAAGATTTCCTTGTGATTATATTTAACTTAATTACTTTCGGTAAAACGCTGCACAGTTGCTGTTGTATACGTCTAATTACATCACACCAGGAGACAAACAGCACTGGTCTCCTCCACAGTGTCCACGCTTAACTGCCTGGCTAATCCAATGCCTACTACATATGACTTATAAAGGTATGTATACATTAAAATTAATAAGCACCTAATAAATAACACTTAAGACCTTGCCAGTGTCTTCTTTCCCCCAAACTGCTACTCAATGGTTTCAGTTTTCATCTGTGCCCTCTGTTCAAGCACATTGTTAAATTGGAAGTCAGAAATTATTCTTTAATTGTTGATTCTGATGCTTTCTTGGTCTTATTTAAAAATAACCACAAAGATATCTAATGTACAGACAAAGGGGGTGTAGATTCTATGTTGTAAATGATGGGTGTTGGCAGTAAAGTGGTGCCAGCTGTGGGCACTGGAGAGCGCTTTAAAATACGCTGCTGTGCGAACTAGACCACACTTGGTGCTCAGTTAGCAGAGGAAGGAGACTGCTGACAGGAGGGGTCTAGCTGACTCACAGGCTCCTGAGATGCAAAACCGAACAAATGTGTGACCTCACCTAAGGACACGAATATCAGCAGCCTTTGCAAAGAAAGTGAGCCTTTAAAATGTAAAATATTGTGTACTAACAAGAGCAGATGATTCACACGACGTGAATGGTACTAGGTTCCAAGGTCTTTTGACAGCATTTAAATGTGAGCCAGATTCCTTTTCCATCATTCCATCTTCAGCCACGTTTCAGTATGTCATGGATAGCTTCCTTTCTCTTCAATCTTTCCTCCTTTGTTTGCTATATTTAATCGATTTTGGACTATTAGAGTCATAAGTAAGTTTCCTGACCACACTTCATCCCATAGGTATTGTCTACTGAAGTGAAGCACATTATCCTGAGCCTAGAAATTTTATCAGGACAGGTGTGTAGTGTCGTACTTGCTTTTTGTGAGTCATGAACTTGGAAGCAAGTTGCTAATTGTCCTGGCTCAGGTTCTCACAAATTGTCATCCCCTGGTGGCCAGGGCTGCTGTCAGCAGAGGGCATAACCAGAACAGGAGTTCTCGTCTCATGTCTTACTCACGTGGATGTTGGCACTAGACCTCTGTTCTCTGCCACGGGAGCCTTCTCTCCTTCTCCCTGTGTCCTCTCTTACTTTCCTTTCCCCTCCCTCCCTTCCTCTCTCTCCCCCTCATTTTCTCCCTCTTTCTCTCTGTGTGAGTTTGTGTATCTATGTATGTGAGGGGTGTGTGTGTGTGTGTGTGTGTGTGTGTGTGTGTGTGTGTGTGTGTGTTTATGTGTTTAGATAGGTGTGCATGCATGTGTATGCTGGTGCACGTGCCTGTGGAGGCCAGAGGTCAATGCTGAGTGTCTTCCTCATTGGCTCTCTGCCTTGGTTTTTCAGTGAGGATTTCTCACTGAAGCTCGCTAATTTAACAGGGCTGGTCAGCAAGCCCAGGGATCTACCTGTCTGCCCCCGCCCCCAGCACTGGGATGACGATGATGCATCCATCACATCTGTTTGCTTGCCATTTGGTTTTTTTGTTTGTTGGTTTGTTTTGTTGTGGTTGTTTTTATGTGAGTTCTGAGGATACAACTCAGGTCTTTGTGCATGCAAGGTAAGCACTTTATTAACTGAGAAATCTCACCAGCCCCGCACAACTTTTTTAAAATACCAGCCATCCGTCTTACTTTTCCGGAGAACTGAAAAGAGTCTAATAATTCTGCGCAAACCAAGCTGCCAAAGCTGTGCCAAGATTTCGATGTTACCATTAATAAAAGATGTCTGCCTGCGCGAGGCACGGGTCTGTGATCTCAGGACCCTGACTTCAGGGCCGGGGAAAACCGGCTCACATCTGTCTGCATGGTAATTAGACAAATGCTTCTAGAAAGCGGCCCTGAATATCCACACATCTAACAAGACCTGTTTGGACCTGAGGCTGGCCCCTGCAGGGCAATTCAGACAACTTCATCAGTGTCTGTCACTGGTTCTGTGGGTCCTGGCCCTCCTCACTTGTCAATATGCCATGTAGCTTCAGAACAGAAGAGGAACCGGGCTCTTGGGACCACTCGAGTAAGCCTTTGCTTCCCTAGACCAAAATTAAAAGTCAGAAAAAAAAGTAGCTCATGACAGCCAAGCATAAAGAGAGGAACCGAGACTCTGGGAGCAGGGGAGAATGGAAGACGTCTTAGAGAAGAGCGGGTGTAGACACTTAAGAACAAACAATGACCCTCCACCACAGAAGAGGCACCATGAAAACACAGTCCCAAGTACTCACAAAGATCCCGACCCTTTAGCTGGGAAAGGTCTTCTTTGCCATGGCACACAACTCCTCTGTTCATGCAAGTCTGGTGCTTAAATCCACAGTTGTGCGGGAGAGAGGCTCAGCAGTTAAGAGCGTTTGCTCTTGTGACTCCCAGAACCCACAGCAGGCAGCTCACATTCACTCGTAACTTCAACTCTAAGGGACTATACAGCCTCTCCTAGCCTCTGAGGCACCTGAAAGAAGTGCATATACCATCTCTGCCCCACAGATACACACAATTAAAAAATAAGTCTTTAAAACGTATGTTAGTAAATGTCTCTAGCAATGTTTTTCTACTGTCTTTTTTTTTATGTGTGAGGTGCTATGGTAGGTTGTAAAGCAAAGAAATAAGAATCCAATGGATATTGAGTTTGTCTTAGGTTTCTAGGTGAGAAAACATCACGACCAAAAGCAACTTGGGGAGAAAGAGTTGTCTTCAGCTTACAACTCTCAAGTCAAACTCCATCACTAGTAGAAGTCAGGCAGGAACCTAGAGACAAGGACTGAGGCAGAAACCATGGAGGAATGCTGCTTACCAGCTTGCTCTTACAGCTTGCTCACCTTGCTTTCTTACACAACTCAGGACCAGCTGCCCAAGGGTGACACCACTCCTGTGTGCTGGGTCTGCCCATATAAATCATTAATCAAGAAAATACCCTACAGAGGCATATTCTCAGCTGAGGTTCCTCTTCCCAGCAAGTTGACAACAAAACAAAATAAAATCCAAAAGACAATTGAGCCCTTGTCAATTTGACACGCAGACACATAACCATTAAGCCATAGCCTTTCCCCAAAATGTCATGTTAATATGCATATGGCATTATAAAACACTCCAATTTTTAAAACTCGCAGCCATTAAAAAATTAAACACTCTTTAAATGTTTGGGCTCTTTAAAACACCAGGTCTTCTTCAAAGTTCAAAGCTTCTCTACAATACCCAATGTCTCTTAACTATGGGCTTCTGTAAAATAAAAAATAATTAAGTTTTCTTGCTCTAAGAGGGAAGAAACAGGGTCACCTTCAGATGAGTGCAAAACCAAAGTCCCAGTGTCAGATTTATGCTACTCACCGTCTTCAAGGCTCCAGAGGGCCTGCCACAGCACACAAGACTCAGGCAAGCCTCATTCCAAAGCTGCTGCTGTCTTTGGTGGTTGGTCATTCCCCATGGTACTGACATCTCCAAAATGGTCTCCACTGCAACTGGATTGCACCTTCACCAGGAGCCTCTCCTGGGCTCTCTGGATACTCTGTCCCTGCCACATGGCACCAACCCTCAATTCTCTCCAATGACCCCTTCAATCCCAAGGCTT